CCACAGCAAAGAGGACATGCCAATAAGCATCATCCACCCAGAGCTCCTTCCAGTCAGTGAGACACTTTTCGAACTGGTGGTACCTGCCAAGTGAAAAGTGAAATCAGTTAAATGTTATTTGGATTTGATCAGAACATGAAACTGGTCCAGGGCTTGTTCATTCTGAGTGACTGGACTTAGTATTGGATGACACTTTTACTCCTCTTTACAGAATAAAATTTAAAGCTAGGAAGAACATATCTGGCAATTTTAATGGAATGTGCAGAAACTGCAATAAATGTTTACATAAACAACACAAAAAATGGTTTACACCACATTCTAAGAAAAGCACTCTACCAGTGAAGTCAGGCTACACTGAGGGCAGAGATGTGATGTGTAGTGATGTGTATGACTAGATCCCAGCACTGGCTACCAGCCAGCACTTCTCATAGGAGAATGATTAAAAGACTCTTCTGTCTATTTTTTCACTTGTATTGTTAGTTTGGGAACTTATAACTCCACTTCAGATTAGTAAAATGGGTTAAAACAAGACAACAATACAGGAGAAAACACTGGGCAAGTACCATTGAGGAAACACATTTCAAGGACGATTTCACATAGGTCAACAAAATGCATCTGCATATGGTGATGCTTAAATTTATCATACAGCCATCTACATAAAAGAACACATATCCAGACCCCCTCCAGGACATGTCAATTAATCCGTTTCTGCTGAGTCACGCCTTGCGGCACCATAACAAACCGCTTGGTCTGTGGAGTATGATTGTATGCCACAACGACGTGCCAAAGTGCTTCAAGCTGGGCGTTCAACTTGATGTAGCGAACTCCTACACTCAAATATGGCTTGTTGCCATTAAAGTACCACACAGCTGTAAAAGAGTGAAGTTTAGTAATGAAAGCACTTTCAGGTTAGTGAGGAGAGTTTCAGTTTGTGCAATGGCCCAGAGTTTGTCCAGCGGCATCACACTACAATCAAAAGTACATGGCTAGGAGAGTACAACTTTCAGACAGTGTGATGGGTTGAGGTGGGAATGTACTTTCTTAAAAGTTACCTTATGGTGAGGGAAAGTCATGAATGAAATATAATAATTTCTTGTGTGACAGTGTCCTTGCCTCAAATCACAGACAGGTTGGAAGTTTTTCAATGACAATGGAGTAAATATATCAGAGTGATCAGGTAATTACCGTCACAAATCCTATAGAAAATAACAAGGAATATGATGAAAAACAAACTTAATGTCATGGAAAAATTTGACTGATGGCCAGGGTGATGGACATGACTTGCCATGAGTGCACAAAGGAGGGTAATTAGACTCAGTAGGTATAGAGGAAGGGGATCTTGCATTATTTCCCTCAGTAAACAAGTGCGGAATATATCATCCATGAGCCATGACTGAAGAGTGCTGTCTTCAGGAAAGATCCTACTTCTGGCCAACAAAATCAGCAGTGTGCGGTGTATTACAGAAAATTTAAAAAGTTACACAACTAACAAAATATTAGTTAATGTTCTTATTATTGCACAGTCATAAACTAGCTATGGAATATGTGCAAGGAAAATAGCCTAATATCGTGTTGTTACAGCATATCAAAAAACAAATAGATCTCAGAAACTGGCAAAATAAAGCAAAAAACACTGATACAGAAAAAGAGATGATAATATGGCAAAGACATGGCAAGGAGTCTTGACATCACAAACAAGTGTTTGTATGGGTCGGGCCTACAAGTCACACACCCAGGTCTCCAGAGTATAAAATTTATATTTATTTTCTTCACCCGGCAGAAACGGGTTAAGACCATCCTGCATCACCTTCAGAGAGACTTTTGTTTACTGCTAAAAAGCCTCCACCTCTACTCACTAAAACTATGAAAAAGAAATGACTTTAACAAAGCTGAGTACCACACAGCTGAAAAAGATTGAAGTTTAGTAATGAAAGCACTTTCAGGTTAGTGAGAGGTGTTTCAGTTTGTGCAATGGCCCAGAGTTTGTCCAGCGGCATCACACTACAATCAAAAGTACATGGCTAGGACAGTCCAACTTTCAGACAGTGTGATGAGTTGAGGTGGGAATGTACTTTCTTCCAAGTTACCTTATGATGAGGGAAAGTCATGAATGAAATATAATAATTTCTTGTGTGACAGTGTCCTTGCCTCAAATCACAGACAGGTTGGAAGTTTTTCAATGACAATGGAGTAAATATATCAGAGTGATCAGGTAATTACCGTCCCAAATCCTATAGAAAATAACAAGGAATATGATGAAAAACAAACTTAATGAAATGAAACTATAAATCTATTATTTGTGCAAAACAATTTGTATACTTTCGCCATTCTACATCCTGTCGCCTTTCCATCCAGCATCAAGCATTGACCTCTTTGATCCAGGTGACTTGACTGTCATGGAAAAATTTGACTGATGGCCGGGGTGATGGACATGACTTGCCATGAGTGCACAAAGGAGGGTAATTAGACTCAGTAGGTATAGAGGAAGGGGATCTTGCATTATTTCCCTCAGTAAACAAGTGCAGAATATATCATCCATGAGCCATGACTGAAGAGTGCTGTCTTCAGGAAAGATCCTACTTCTGGCCAACAAAATCAGCAGTGTGCGGTGTATTACAGAAAATTTAAAAAGTTACACAACTAACAAAATATTAGTTAATGTTCTTATTATTGCACAGTCATAAACTAGCTATGGAATATGTGCAAGGAAAATAGCCTAATATCGTGTTGTTACAGCATATCAAAAAACAAATAGATCTCAGAAACTGGCAAAATAAAGCAAAAAACACTGATACAGAAAAAGAGATGATAATATGGCAAAGACATGGCAAGGAGTCTTGACATCACAAACAAGTGTTTGTATGGGTCAGGCCTACAAGTCACACACCCAGGAGAGGACCCACTCAAGTAAGCCTAATGCCCAGATTTTGGCCCACATATGGTAGCAAAGTACCCATATCTAATCAGTTAACCCCTTGGTGCCGGGTGACGCCGATCGGCGTGTAAACAAAGCGCTCGAAAGCTGGCGTGCAGCCAAACGAGCCGGCGGCGAGCCAGTGATTCGGGCTGATGTCCCCTACTCACGCGCTCAAAGTCGCTGCCTTTGTTTGCTTAAGCGTAGAGTTTTTTTTTGTTTTGTACACCCGGCGCCATTGGGTTAAGTAAGTCTGCATCCATAACACATTCATTTATTCAAATCTATATAATTTTCTCAGATGAAGCATGATATTCAAAAATATTAGACTGCAAGTAATTTGGTGTAAAAGAATGCATATATATATATATATATATATATATATATATATATATATATATATATATATATATATATATATATATATATATATATATATATAATTTACTGTAACTGTTACACTACCTAGATACCATGTCCTTTTGTACAAAGACAAAAATTACAAAATAGATGAATGTATATTATTATTTGCTCCACTGTGTATAACAAATGATAGCAATTGGTAGTAATACAATTGTTAATTAACTTCTGAAGTTCAGATGCTCACATTTACATTTGGTGCACTATTTTCACAATTACAGTGTATGGTAGCTCATTGAATGGCATGCAAATATGTAAATATGCATATCTCAATATAACTCCCAACAAACAACATTCCATAATACCCTATTACCTCAAGTTTATAACTGTGCATTTCCATAAGCTGTGCAAAGGTTTTTACATAACACTGGCATCACCCACCTGATGGACCACAACATGAAAATAACCGAGGCTATGACAGCAAATGCAAGAGTGTTGGTGAAGTGCCGGTAGAGGGAGAGCTTAACCAGGTTGCGTCTCAAGCGAAGGATGCGAGTGGTCTGCACAAGTCCAGTGAAAATCCAGAGGCAGATGGCTGACTCCAGAAGGGACAGAGGCAAGGAAGCTAGAAGGACCTGGAAAAGAAAAAGGGATTCTCAGTATGACATAAATAAAAACTAAATGTGCAGTAAAAAAATGTGAAGTAGAGTAAACTTAAAATCAGATATAATATCACTGAAGTTTTACAATATGCTTATACTAGCTACATAATTTATAACAGCAGTCAGATCCAGACATATCTACTATATCTTTAATTTGAGATATTTAGCAACATCAAAATCCATGTATTTGACTACAAAGAAAACATGATGATATTTTTCATCTAATTTTATTTATTCATTTTTGTTATAAAGATCATCGCATTCAGTAATTCTTCAACATATAAAAAGGTACCAAAATATATCTGCAAAATATTACCTGTTTCTGAGGGTCACTTCTAGACTGTAGTGCTCTTGTACATCCTTCAATACTTGAAAGGACAAAGTAGAGAAGACCAACACCAACAACACGATGCAGAATCACACCTAAGCGTGGTCTGAAAAGTCAAATGCATTTTTTTCCCTTTCATACTGCTTATAATGTAATGACAACCCTTATGTCATTATTAACGATTATCAACAACTCTCATGTCCTTATTTGGCCAACCTAGCCATCATCAAGTGTTTACTTGTGGTGATATGTGATCATACAATTCAATGTCTCTCTGTCTATTAGTCTTTTCCCCCTTGTTGGGATTTACTGAAACATAGTGTTCTTTTCTTCATTCCATCATCACCCCTTCACATAACAATACATGTAAACAGATGAACTTTTATTGACAAGCAACAAATAAGTACATGATGTTTAAAAGCACAGGAATAATATGCAAGCACACACAGACATCCAGTCATATTGAACAAAATGTCCATTTTATGCTATCCATATCCATTCTCATGTATTAGTTGTCCCCTGAATGTTATGGTATATATATATCTCTCTCTGTTTAATCGTCTTCTGTAAGTATAAACATGATATGTGTCAACACACACAAACATAGCAAAACTAGTAATGGTACATTACAATGTTCCTTATTGATACACCATGTTTGGAAAACCTATTACACAGGTCATACCATAGGTATTAAATGGCATATAAATGTATTCCAAAAAATAGATACAAAAATGTAGTCACACATTTCACTCACTTGACAATCCCAAATCCAAGAGACACGATAATGACTAGCATCCGGGCAAGAGTTCGCTTGGCGCAGGAAGCTAACTCTGCCAAAATGATGAGGCCTGGGACACTGTACCCATTCTGATTAATGCTGCTGTATTCAGCTGTGAACACTGCCTTTTCCAGCATACCTGCAGTGAAGGCAAAGATTTCATGTAAAAGGTATTTGCATGTAATATAACACAAGTGGGAATTGAGCAGGGGGGAATGAAGAAGAAGGGAGAAGAGGCAAGAAACAGAAGAGACAGATGGGAAGAAGCAGAAGGTGAAGGAGAGGCAGAGGAAGAGGGAAGGAGAGGAAAAAAGGAAGGAGTTGGAGGAGAGATAGAGAAGAGGGAAGAAGAGAAGGCTGACAGGTGGAACGGGATGATATGGAGGAGAAGGAGGAGGAGGAGGAAAAAGAAGACAAAGAGGAAGAAGAACATACGGAAAAAAAGAGGAAGAAGATAGGAAGATGAAAAACATGAAGTAGAAGAAGTAGAGGAAGAAAAGGAGGAGGAAGATAAAGAACATAAAGAAGAGGAACAAAAAGATAACCACAAAGAAGAAGAGGAAGAGGAGGAGGAAGAAAATGAGGACACAGAAAAAAAAAATAAAATAAAATAAAATAAAACAAAATAAAATAATTCTTACCAAGCAAGATGACTGTTCCAATCCAGTACTGCACTCGGAGCAGTTCCCTCCAGTGCATGAAGGAAACAATGAGCCAAGCCAAACCATAGATGAGGTAAACAACACACATGGCTGCATAGAAGCCAAGCAACGGCCAATCTGCAAGGATGATTGTTAATTTAGTGTCCGACCTCCAGCAGGACTAAAGGGGTTTATTTTAGAGAAAGAAAAAAAAATTCATCATCATCATCATCATTATCATTATCATCATCATCATCATCATTATCATCATCATAAATTATGAGCAGCACCAGAAAAATAAACTATAGCAATAATTTACTTCAATCTTCCAGATATTCACTGCAATTAATGGCATTCACTCTAATGGACAATATCATAATCTATGGTGCTTTAGATATATACCTAGACATAATAACAGCAGTAGTAATGATAATAGCAATAATAAGAACAACAATAATACCCATACTAGAACAACAATAACAGTAAAATTAATCAAACTGCTAAATGGAATGTAAAACTTTACTTCAACATACCTACAGCTGAGAGGTAACCATAGTCACTCCTCATCTCAATATCAATCTCAGCGATGTATGAATCATTGCCAATCACAGTTTCAGGAACAACTTCCGTGTGGACTACCAAGAGGTAGACCCCGTCAAAGGGCAGGATAGCCACCGGGTGCTTGGTCTGGGCCGCTCCGCCAGCACTAATGTCACTCTCCGAAAGACCTTTGGGGTAAAGGAGGTACCAAGTGAATACACTAAGAGTAATGTGGAAAGTTCCTATTCTATGATACTTTTCAATATGGGTAATGCTGACCTTTAGAACTACTTGGAACATTTTCAAACAGCAAAATTCCCTTTACAGAAGTGTTATACAGCTAAACATTCTTCATGTAATTTTGCATAAAAAAATACTACTCAGAATTTATTCAGCATTTAACATTCTTTCTGTCTCTTTTGAAATAAAAAGAATCAAACAACATCAAACTCTACCCACCCAAAAAATGTCAAAAATAGCTCTCTTGTACATCTGAAATACAAACAAAGCCCTAAAACCCAAGCTCTAGATTTACCTGACTTCACAACAGGAGTAGCCTTTGTTGTTGTTAGAGTATCCCCCAACACTGCTCTTGCGGCCTCTAGGTGAGCCTCTTCAGCATCAGCATCTGATTTTGTAACCAATTTCTTTTCCAGGTCGACTTCATGCTGGAGTTTGATTGGACATAAATTAAGCAAGTGAAAAAGACAAAGACAATTTAATCATCCAACATACTATATCCATAGCAAAACTGAACAAAGACAGTGAGCATACCAAAGAAAACAGCAGTTTGAGGTTTGTACCTACCAGGATAATATTGTCATCACAACTAACTATTTCTGGCTCTGTCTTCACATATCCAGGTTTATACTTTCCATCTTTAGAGTCCTGAATAAACTGGCCGGGATGATTGAAGTAATTCTGTAGCAATGCGTCTTTCCCATCCTGAAAGTAGAGAGTAGGAGCACCGTTGAATACATGTTCAGTATTCCAAAAAACAAATATGTGCTCATTAGCATTAATACTGGGAATTTGAGAAAACATCAGATCAGCTTGATGAATCTCTGACAAGTGTGTGAGAGAGAAACAAACAGACAGGTTGAGAGAATGAGAGAGAATGAGAGAGAATGAGAGAGAGAGAGAGAGAGAGAGAGAGAGAGAGAGAGAGAGAGAGAGAGAGAGAGAGAGAGAGAGAGAGAGAGAGAGAGAGAGAGAGAGAGAGAGAGAGAGAGAGAGAGAGAGAGAGAGAGAGAGAGAGAGAGAGGGGGGGGGGAGTAATCTGTAATTGCCTCAATACAGTGACTGGTTGGACAGTGATAGGCATGACTCTTTACTGAATGAAGAGTACACATGGATAAAGAACACAATACGAATATCTAGGAGAAGTGCTGAGCGGCGTGTAGTGTCTGGCCAGCCAGACCTTGGGGGGCTGGAGGCTGGTAGTGACCTTGACACTGTGAATTCTGGAGGTGAACTGGAGGGTCAAATAGTGTCAGAAATATTCAACAACTAGGCTCCTGAACTGATATGTAGCCACATGGTAAACACATGGAGCCCACATGGTCTTCTGATTACTCAAATTGTGCTCATGTGCATGCTATAGAGAGAGAGAAAGAGAAACAGAGAGACAGACACAGACAGATAGACTGAGATGATGATGATGACAGAGAGAGACAGTCTTAGGCAGAAAAAAACATTAACAGACTGAGACAGACTCAGAAAAAGAGACAGAGACAGACAGACAAAGAAAGTCACACTGAAATAGCAACAGAGATAGATAGACGGAGACAGAGAGATAAACAGACATACCAGAAATATAATATAACTGATAAATAAAAATACACAACCAGGCAGGGAGACAGAGACTGTAAGCAAAAAAGAAAAAAGGAAAAGAAAAAAGAGGGAAAAAGAAAAAAAAAAGAAAAAAGAAAAAAAAAAGGAAAAGAAGAGGGAAACAGAAAAAAAAAGAAAAAAAAGGGAAAAAAGAAAGAAAGAAAGAAAGAAAAGAAAAGAAAGAAAGAAAGATAGAAAGAAAGAAAAAAAAAACTATCTTACCTCTGGTATGACATACTCATTCCAGCAAGGTGTCTTCCGCAACATCCAGGTGATTTCTATATCCAGCGGGTTATTGGTTGGCTTGCACCGGACTTTGATGTTGATTTTGCCCCCTTTAAACATGCTTTTCTTAACTCCAACATATTGATTGTCCTGCAAAATAATTTATTCCAGTTAGATGGCTGTCAATATATTTAATTTCTGACCTATAAACTGTTCATGAACTCAAGTGGTATTACATTTTTATGCATTTTCTAGTATAGCTAACAACAATTTTGTACCTATAGTAGTCTACAAGTAAAATAAATTAGAATTGTAAGCTCTATAAGTTCTAAAACATTTTTTTCCATTACATAGCTGTCATATATTATATAAAAAAAGTTTATTAACTCGTAAAGTTCATAAAAATACTCATAATCAATTAGGATAAGGTAACCAACAGCCAGATACACACCCTACCAAATAGGCATGCAGTTGGCATTTAGAAATAAATTCTCACAATATTACAATATTTTGAACATCATATATAGACTTGCTTGGAAGCAGAGAATTAAGCCTGGGCACATATTAAGGGCAGGAATCGTGTATTTGGATTTATATTTCCATATGATGTAGAATCCCACTTCAAACAACATAATAGTGCATAGAGATAATTATGGTACTATTTTATAATTGTAAAAGTAACCACGGATAAATATTTGCTTATCTTGGGAAATCCTTCTTGTTTACCAAAGGTTGTATCCCTTATTTTGCCATTTATTGATTTGTGTTTTTTTTACAATCTTGTTCTGAATATTACGACTTAAAACGATGATAACAACAATGACCTTCACTATACCCTAGATAAACCAATAAAGGGATGACTAATGTCTAACTTATGTGACTGAGTCTTATTGATTTAATATCTTAGAAGTAATTAACAAAAGCATACCTACTAGACAGGGGGTCGAAACAGGTATACACCCACTTATCCATGATTTTCTGCATACCTATGACTATTGTGTGCATGTTCTTTGGCAGTTTATTCTAAATTCTGATTTTGAAAGGTGCCAAATACCTTAATCTCTCTCTTTCTCTCACTCCCTTTTATCTTCACCTTCCCCCTTACCTTCACCCTCTACTTCTCCCTCTCCCTCTCCTTCTCTCTATCTCCACCTCCATCAACATAAATATATTGTAAAGTAATTGTAGTCTATTATGAAGATGATGATAACAACAGCTGCAACAATGACAATAAATGGTAAAATACTCTTCTGTGTTGATATTATGGTAGAAAAACCCACAATGTACAAACTAGATTTATTGAAAATGAGACTACAGTTTCAAAATCCACCTAGATTCCATCCTCATGTCTGATGGAATCTAGGTGGATTTTGAAACTGTAGTCTCATTTTCAGTTAATATAGATTGTACACTGTGGGTTTTTCTACCAATGATGATAATGATTGATGATGATGGCAATGATGATGATGAAGTCTATGATGATATTACTGACGATTACTAATAATGGTAAAACTTTACAGTATGGATGCACTTGCCTGTGACAAAGTCCCCTACTCCATGTCACAAAATCTATTCAGCAATCTAAGTTGCAATGAATGGGTATGCCCATTGGCCACTGCCTGAGGGGTGGGTTGATGGGAAGCTCTGCACCCCCAAGATGCCCCAGGAAAATATTGCGTTCACCTCAGTATACACAACAATATAGAGCTGAAACTCAGAAGCATCTAGTGTACTTCATACTGTCTACTAATAGCATGTGCGTACATGCCATGCCCATCGGATCTGGGTTAAGGGAAAATGTTTTTCTTTCTAATGCTATTAATATCGATACTGTTATCATTCTGGTAATTCTTTACAGTATGGATGCATGTGTCAGAGACAAAATTCTCAAGTCAATGCCACAAAATTTATTCAATAATCTAAGTTGCCATGACTAGGTGTGCCCTTCGAGCACTGCCTGAGGGGAGGGTTGATGAGGTTCTACCCACTAACACTCTAGGAAACATTGTCTTTACCACTGTCTGCATAGAAAGACAGAGCTGAAACCCGGGAAGACCGAGTGGACTTAGGCTGTGATCAGTGCTTTCTGTGATCTTTTGGTGTTCCCATTTGTCTGTAGATTATTTCTGGTAACTTCAACTTTTAGTCCTATACAAGAATATCATCTTCAATTTGTCTTTGTAATTATTAATATATTGCAAAAATATTAATAACATTAGCAACAATAAAATAATACGAAAGCTTTCCAAAAATCGAGAAAAGAGGTGAGATAGGTAGGACTAATAACTGACTACTTAATGACTATACATTTGTAGAGCCATCTATGTGTAAAGATAATCAATGAACTTATATTATACTGGACATGGCATATATTCTTCCCGTCTCATTAGAACTGGTTAAAACTGCAAAATATGTTTACTTGTATGGCAACTATCACGGGGCCTTTCTTAGTTCTATAAAACAATGTCCCACTTAATTACTACACAAAAAGGTACTGCCAATCAAACCTAAATAAGAAGTAAAGACCAAATACCTCAGTCATGGTAGTCTCCACATCTATGCTCAAGCAAAGTCAAGTTAATCTTCACCACACACTTAATAACAATGAAAGATACATTTGATTTAGCTTATGTGTTGTTATTGTTCATTACCTAACCTTTCACTATCTCGGCATAATGTTCGTTTCAAAATCCACCAGGAATGATGAGGATCTTGATAATAATCGCCTTCCACAATCGGAAATTGTTATAGTTGGAGATTTGCCAAAGTTGGGTATCATTACTTCCTACAAATGCCTAATAAAATACTTTTTTCTTATCCTCTTTTCTATCTGAGCTTAGATTTTCTCTAATAACCGCCTCTCCTTCATTTATTGATTACATGAACTGAACAATTGAAAAATTGAGTCGTTTGGGGTTGAACACGTAGTCTGCTTGGGCGGAAGAATCGTGATTATAGAGATTGGGAATTGAGCTTAATTAAGGACTAATTATCATTACCTTCGACGTTGAAAGATGCCAAATCCCTTGCTCTGGGAAAGAGGCCACTACTACGGCAGATAAAAGCGTTAGAAACACAGAATTCCTCATTTTTGTATCACTTGACTTGCTCTTGTCATATCTCGGTAGCCATGAAGCAGACGTCAACAAACAGCCAAGGGTCTTCGAAACCTTTAAGGTGGTGTGGATGACGGAAAGAAAAATGTTTTGCAGAATCTAAGAGTCAAAAAGACGCTTCAAATCTATTTTGTTTGGGTTTCGGCGCTTATAGTTCTGGATCATGGTTTCCGCATCTATTGTCGTTGACGTCTATCCATTAGAATTCACAATTACGTGATTTTTAGTCGATTTTCCTTATTTGTAAAAATAGGTCCATTTCGGTACGGCTATAAATACTATCTGTTATCTCTCACCACAGTATTACGGCGGATATCATGAATAATATCTATTACGCACTTCTTAAAACACCGACATAAAGGCATTTTCGAATTTTCAAAGAAATTCAAATTGAGTATCGATGTTTCAATTTTTAATAAAATCTATCCACGAGAATACCTGCCTTAAAAATGGTATATAATTATTCCTTCTTGCAATATAGAAAATCCAAAAACACTGAAGTCTGACTGAACTGCATAACTAAAAAGAATCTAAACTTCACATTATTCTATGCAAATGCCACATGGTCAAAGCCGCCTTCAAAGCTATCTATTTATTTCAATCTCAGCGCATTTTCAGAGGCATCAGTGATCTACATCAATTGTGAAGCCTTCAATAAGACCAGATCATAATTTTACCAAAACTATTGGGAACTGAAGCAAATGGCGTTTAAATATCTGTAAATGTGCTGCATTGGAATAACCTTTGAACTGTATGTTAAGAATAAATTATCATCTATACATATCTCTATCGTGCATTAAACAACTCTTCCCGATCTTTTCTTTTCTTTTTTCTTTTAAGATGAAAAGAAATAACTGCAGGCATAACGTATTACTGAAAATGAGTGAATAGATATTGTTTCTCATTAGTTACGGTAGCCAGGGCCGAGAGCACGAGTATCATGCTAGAATAATAGTATAGTAGTTCTCAATATCAGTCTACTCCCACATATCAGCCTATGTGGGAGTAGACTGTTTGAGGGGAGGGGGGGGCGGGGGGAAATTATTAGTGTTTGTAGGAATCTGTCCTCGTGTGATATGTCGCGTATTTCTGGTTGTGAGTGCATTTGTTGTCCTTGTGTGGTGTATGTAATTGTTTATTTATGACAGTTTTATTATCTTACCATTTGTCTGCGTATTGTTAGGGTGTTTATATTAACTATTGATTGATTCGTGGTGTGATGCCAAGCGTTTGTAAAATTGTTCGTAATGAACCTCTGGCTGCTACGGTGCTTATCTTGTCTAGTTTATTAATGTTTGTTTGCGTGTGTGGGACCACACTGCTGCGCAATACTCCAGTATTGGATGGTAAAGAGTGTTGTAAACTATGTGATTTTTGTCTTATGTAAAGCCGTGTACATTGATCCTCAGGAAACAGTGCTCTGTTTGCTTTGTATTGTATGTGTCTATAGGCGTGTTAAACTCTGTGTTGGGTGTTGTGTGATGCCTAGGTATTTGTGTGATGGCAAGTTGGCTAGTTGTTGGGAGTGGATTGAGTATAGAAATTTTGTGGGTGTTTTTGAGCGGGTGAAATTTGTGGTTTTGCATACGTAGAGCTGAAAGTCCATTTACCATGTGGATTCCTATTGCTCGAGGGGAGTCAGGAGTTTACAATCGCCAGGTGTCTTGATCGGTCGTGCTTTGCTAATAGTCTAGCTGCAGAATTAGTGGTGGATAGTAGGAGATCGCTTATGTGGAGTAGGGAAAGGAGAGGGCCTAAAGGGCCCCACACACGATCAATTTTTTTCGTCAATTAATTGATATCAATTTATTGACGTCAATGAATTAATGGAAAAATTGACCGTGTGTGGGGGACATTGATATCAATTTAATTGAAACAATTTCATTGAATCAATTCATTGAGAGATCAAAACTCCTTTGATATTTATTGATGGGTCTTCAATAAAATTGAGCGTGTGTGGGCAAAGCGTCAATATATCGATCAATAATTTGGTGTTTTCCCTTGCAGCAGTGATACTGAGACGCGCATTTGGAGAAATGGCTTCTCGCATGGTAGTACTTTGTTTGACTATCACTGGCATCACTAAATTTAGAAGTTCGTCGTAAGATTCGGCGTCCATTCTGAGGAAATTCCTGTAATCCTCTGGCTCGTCGTCCCTTAATTCCCTCAGCAATCGTGTATGTCCTAGTTCCCTTCGACAGAGATACCATTTCTTCGCCCACTTACTCCTCTTCTTTCGCTTGGAGTGTCCAGAGCGAGCACTATTCCTAGAGCCACAGATGCTTTCATCTCGAAATTATGAACCAAACTGAAAATGAAGTAAATTCATTGACCGTGTGTGGGCACAGTGATTTCCATCAATTCATTGACGTCAATAAATTGATATCAATTAATTGATGAAAAAAAAAAAATGATCGTGTGTGGGGCCCTTTAAGACGGTACCCTGGTGGATACCAGAAGAGACAGGGACAGGAGTATGTCCAGTGATTCCGTAAAACTAGTTTTTGTGTTAGTCTTTGGCGGAGTCTAACAATATTGCATCTACCCGTTTAACGTCACGTCTGGCTAGGAGCCTGGAAATGTCATAATGATTAATAATGAGTTATGATTCGCATGATTGCGTTGTGTATCAGTCAATATGTTGTTTGTGTCAAGAGGTTTCATTATGTATTTATGTATAATATGTTCGGAGAAAGATTTCGGAGAAAAACAAAATATTCCATGGATATTGGTACTCAAAGCTATAGCCTCCCGACCGGATTCATAGAGTAAAAATGTGCAATTAATTCTTTTTGCTGCCTCTTGAATTTTGAGGAAAATTAGGGATCATAAATCTCTCTGAAATGAAAAGGGAGATTATAATGAATTCCAAGATGACCATTCAGGAGGGTCTGCAATATTTCCTGATGGAGTGGTAGGGGGCGGGGTTTATACTGTCACACAGAACAAAACTATAGTATCTAGAATTGTTATAGGCTACCTTTGAGTTATTATAGCAATCAGAGACATTCAGTCATCTGCAGTTCATTGCAGTGCTAATTGCACGCCTCCTCTAACCAGAGGTTATTCTGAGTACCTATTATTTGATTCATTTAAATGTACAAATAGGATGAAAAGTTTGAACTCATAAAACTCGGCCCACAAGGAAATATGTACACGAGGGAAAGGTATTACATATTGTTTTAATTGCTTGACTGAAAAGAAAAAAATCACAATATATTAATAACAGACTCCAGATTACCAGATCGAAAGCAATATAAAAATTAATTCGATTTTGAGATTAAATAGGGTTAAAAACAAGCTGGAGCAGGTGTGTCGAGGCTTAAGAAAACTTACAAAATGCAAACAGGTTCACTAGTTAAGGCCGGGTTGCAAATGTGAAAAGATGTTGGGGTGAATGAGATTAGGAATACTCTCTGATGTGGACTCTTAGGGTAAACATATTTTTAAAAAGTAATGATACTGTGTGTGTGTGTGTGTGTGTGTGTGTGTGTGTGTGTGTGTGTGTGTGTGTGTGTGTGTGTGTGTGTGTGTGTGTGTGTGTGTGTGTGTGTGTATGTATGCGTGCTCGTCCAGACGTTCGTTTTTACTTTATTTTCGTCTTTTTCCTGCTTTGTGTTTTACTTTCACAAAGATAAAGAAGAAAATGGGAGAGGGAGACACCAGTAGCAATCCTGACTTGAACTACCAAACGTCTCTGATAGACATAAGAATAGATAAGGGAAACGACAACGTCAAGGATCTACTTGAAACAGCTGTCACCACACAGAGAAGAAATGTATGTAAAATAAGAAATTGCACATCGCGTACGAGTCACTCTTCACGACTAACAAAATCGCGGGCAAACGAAATACATTATAGATCTTTACGCCTTCAACTACAGCAACAAACCCTATTAATGAAAAGGCTTCAGTGTCATTTGTTCTGCGTGGAAAGAGAGAGAGAGAGAGAGAGAGAGAAAGAGAGTGAGTGTGTGTGTATGTGTGTGTGTGTGTGTGTGTGTGTGTGTGTGTGTGTGTGTGTGTGTGTGAGCGACAGTGAGCATGGGTGAAAATGAAAGTGAGAGAGAGCTCACACCAGGGGTGTAGTGGGGGGGGACGCGGGAGAACGGCGTTCCCCCAGAGATTTTTCCATTAGTTTGTGAAAAATTGGCAATTTAACTGTGCGGTAACGCGAAAACTACGATTTTTTTTTTAATAAAAAAAATTGCTCTGTGGAAATACACTTAATTCTTGTCGTTTATTCTGTTTTTACTGTCGTTTATTCTGTTGAACTTTTTACTTATTATATATTTGTATTCTCTTTTGTATTCTTGCATTATTGGCTATTATTTTAACTTTTTGTATCATACTTTTTATTGTTGTTGGGTAATTTATAGTTTTTTTATATTTGTATTCTGTTTTGCATTCTTGCATTATTGGTCTTACTATTTTTTCAATTTCATATAACCATTGTATTATTGTTGGATATTTTTATGTTATAGATATATTTTTTCTCATGTAACGGCTTCTGCCTGCGGTTTAGTTCTGATTTCCAGGTGCTGCGCAATTTGTTACCTCGCTGATCCATTTCGAGTCTTGTGGTTTTATGCTGCTGTATGAAAATTTTTCTTACGAATTTGTGTTATTATCTTTTGTGTATTCTCAATATATTCTCTTACATTATGGCTTAAAAAATTCGACTTTTTCTTATTTGTGGGGGGGGGGGGGGGTTATTGGCGCAGTATAAAAATAGAGTCAACCAAGTTTGCCGGCAGCGTTCCCCAAGCGATTTTTTTTTACCACTACACACCTGGCTCACACGGAGAATGTATCACAGACACGAAGATTAACGGTCAGTATAACAATACTGCGATAAATTAGCAATGCTATTAATACAAAATTAATAGTACACTTAATTCAACATTTAATGATATGCGACAGAATGTACGCACTAATGAACGGTGACGTGAAAAAAATATTTGCAAGCTTTCTCGCAAGCTTAGAATAAAAATAAATAAATATGATATTTGTGATAAAGATAAAATCACGAACGCGTTAAATTCGTTGTAGTTGAGATAATATAAATTTCTAATAACAAGAGAAACTAATTAAGTATTTAATGAATGATATTCATGTTTGCTGACCGCATACCGTGATCACATAGTAATGCGATCTAGGGTTAGAAGAATAGTGCGAGAACGTGCCATTTGCTGTCACTCAGCACTTTTACCAAATAAAAAACGCGAGAGTGACAGCTCATACGGCTTAACACATTTATGGGAGAAAGACGGGAAAAGAAATAAAGAGGCCGAAAACGTGTAGTCACGTGGTTTTGAAGACATGGTCGGTCGTGGGAGCGATGGTCGAGCGGATTTCGGAGACTGTGTCCATGTTGCGAGCCAAAAGGACGCAGCGACCACCCTAACCTAACCAGTTTGTAAAATGTTGGTGAACAGCAATGATAGTTAACGTACGTACAACTCTCAGCACATGTAAGAGGACACATGAGATGATGTTTTGGGTAAGCGCTGAGCGCGGGGTCGCGTGTCACGTCGACCGCTAGGCACGAACTAAGAGGTCAGACGAGGTCAGATAAAATCGTCATCTAAACTCTCGCTGAGTCATTGGTTCTAACTTAGACTGTGTGTGTGTCTGTGTATGTGTGTGTGTATGTGTATATATATATATATTTATACACACACACATATACTCACATATGTGTGTGTGCAAAAACACGCTCAGTTCATCATACACGTACAATCGAACAGATGTAGAAAAAAAGGTATGGGATAGAGAAAAAAAAACGGCAAAGCACAAGGAATTTGACGCGTTTCAATGAAAATCTTCATCATAAACAAAGGACGCATCGATAACCTTTTGCGCTGTGAGGTTCTTGGTTCCTATTTGCACCCTTTTTTCATGTCACATTCAAACTTTTATACAGAATCGCGAGCGCCCTCGAATTGAATCCACTCGCAGAAGTGCGCCCCCCCACTTTCAAAATCGCACCAAAGCCTATGTTTTATTATTATCATTGTAAATACATACATACATTTATATATATATATATATATATATATATATATATATATATATATATATATATATACATATATAAATATATATATATATATATATAATATATATATAATATATATATATATATATATATATATATATATATATATATATATATATATAAATATATATATATATATATATATATATATATATATATATATATATATATATATATATATATATATATCATAGGCTTTGGAGCGATTTTGAAAGTGGGGGGGCGCACTTCTGCGAGTGAATTCAATTCGAGG